TTTTTGTTGCCAACTGTGTAGTATTGCATTGTATATATTTTTATTGGCATTTTAGAAATTACTGCTTGTTGGCTTTCATCCTACATCACGTCAGAAACATCCATTTGCTTCAACAAGCATTTAGGTGAGAATTGGGTTGGAATTGTTCAGGGGGTCATTACTATTTTTGATGGGCCTTACTTGGCTACTAGGCCTAACTTAAGTGGCAATGTCTGTGGGCATTCCTGCCTAATTGTGCTACCAGGGGAGAGACCTTATTGGATTAGATTGCTATCAGGCAGATGCCATTGCAATCCAACTTCAAAGCGCTATTAGGAGCCATTGAAATCATAGGTAGCATATTTCCATGAGTGATGAGGTAGTAGTATTGGAGTTTAACTCGTTGGACAGATTGCTTAAATTATAATAGCCTCATGGAAGATTAGTGGAGGAATGGAATGCTGGTTTTGCTACCACATTTGTTGGAGCCCCAAAAATTCAAGAGAAGGAAAAAGAGGGCTATTAAGTGATGTTAGACATCTTAAAGTCTCTTAATGCAAGTAGATGATGCTAGCAAGTAGCAAATGAAAACACATAATTTGAGTTGAAAATATTGTTCTTCCAAAGGTAATTAATTAAAATAACTATTAGTATTTTTATGTGAACCTATAAATACGAGAAATTTGTGCCAAATGATAACATAATAATCACCTAAATTGAAGAAATCCATTGGAAAAAATTAAAACAACAAATCCGTAACCTGATTAAAATTCTTGTCTCGATTGGAAATCCAATTATAACAAATTTGAATAAAGTCAAACACATTTCTAAATCCAATCATGTATTATTTATAAAAAGGAGAACAAAAAAATAATTTACAAATTAGGGAAAATCAAGTCTTATACTGTACATGGATATGACTTCCCTTTAATTATATTGAGCTTGATGGAAACAACCCTAGTTCAATACAAAACATGGAATAGAAAACTAGAATTTTATTAAGCAATCACATACCATAGGTTTTAATATGTATAAGCATCAAATCCTGTGATTGATTGCCGCTTATTTCACTCAACTTAAGCTATGAATAAAGCACAAATGGAACCAAATTTTAAAACAAAATAAAAAAACTTTGAGCCTTTGACCACCCTCAGAAACTCTCAAAATATGAAGTTTAGGAACTATAGAATAGACCTGACACAATTGTAGCCCGTTGCCAGTATAACACACGAAATAGCATTTGATTGTCTAAAAGAAGAGATAGATGGATCAATTGGAATGAAGGAATTGTTATAAGAATTATATGGCTATTGTCATCAAATTTTACTCTTTAAATTTTTATTTCATATTATTCATGTGAATTTTCTTGCAATATTTCACCAAGATGTTTTAGTATGTTACTGTAGTTTTGATATAACAAATTTAAATATTTAGGAATTAGATATATTATAACATTGGAATAAATATTTCAAACTATTGATCTAAATTAAAAATTCACAAAGATTATACCTTCCATTGAATGCAAGAAGATAATTTTGAACCTCATAGTAGTCAAATTGTAGCTTTTGAGAACACCATGACTAACCTGTTTTTATTTAAAGTGCCTAATTAATTTTTTCAGATTAACTCAATTATATGTCCTATTTTTATTTCACATGACGATGCAAACTGTAAACTTTAATATCAATATGATGTAGGATATCTTAGTAACTAGATGATTCGATAAATGAAAATATAATTTAGATTTAAAATTTGTAGTTCAACTGAACACCTTTAAAACATTTAGTCTTTTTTGATGTTAAAAAATGATAAATTCCACATTAAACTATAATTTAATAATCACTTGAGCCGATGAAATCCAACACAATTTAACAAAAATCGTTGTGTTGATTGAATTTACACTATAATTGGAAGCCTAATTGTAATATTTTTTACTAAAACTAATTACATTTATAAAATTAATCATGAATTGTTTATAAGAAAGAGTATAAGGAAATAATTTACCAATCAAAAAGAGCCATGCCTCATGTTGCATGGAGATGGCTACTCCTAGAATTGGTAGTTACTATTTGCATTCTGCTCGAACAAATCAATGCCTGAAATAGGATACAAGATTGCACATAAAGCTGATTTTACTGGGCAAGAAGGTATTTACATGTCTTATGTTATTGATTTTACTGAGCAAGAAGGTTCGAAATTGTTGTCTTGATTGAATTTACACTATAATTGGAAGCCTAATTGTAATATAAATGAAAATATATGAACTGCCACTAAGTTCATTCAACTTAGGATCGGAATAAGGCTCTACGGAACACATTTTAAATAGTTGCTAGTTTTGATTACACAATATCAACGTCATGAAATATGCTTTGTACATGAACCATGAAACATATTATGCACAATAGTAGCGGCCTGACTAACTGTTTACTTGGAATAGGCATCACCCATATACAAGAATGCATAGAAACACTTATAGCTACAAGAATTGCGAAGGAACTAAATCACGTGGCTACATGAATTGAATGTGTGGGGCGCTTGGGGTGTGGGGGTTATTTTTATTCTCTTGTCAATTAAGCATATGCCTTAATTTTTGCGAGGAATACATTATGGAAAGAAGTCAAAATAAATTCAATGTATTAAGCATATGCCTTAATTTTTGAAAAGGTTGGAGTAGCTCCAGTGAATGTGTGGGGCGCTTGGGGTGTGGGGGTTATTTTTATTCTCTTGTCAATTAAGCATATGCCTTAATTTTTGCGAGGAATACATTATGGAAAGAAGTCAAAATAAATTCAATGTATTAATTTTTGAAACATATTCCTAACTCAAGTTATATGTGGAATGAATCATTATACTTTTGGCACAATGAAACAAACATTAGATGCTTTAGAGGAAAAGTAAGAAATGCAATTTTAAATTTAGAGGTTAATCTTAGAACATTGAGTGTGAAGCCCATATAGTTTCAAAGCATTTTGGAATAACTTCATGATTATGATCATAAGCTTTATCCCATTTATTTTGGGTTGGCTTTCTGATTTCTCAATTCTCATTCTCCTTTCTATTTGTGCTATAAGAGATGCTAAAGGCATTCTTCACTAATAGTTTATTCATATTACTTAAGATTTGTGTTTTTTTTCTTTAATCGTTCAACACTAATTTCATATTATAGTCAAATAAATGCCTTTGCTACTCTTCTTCTATATGTCCATAACACGAGTTACTTTTTAGTATCCTTATCATCAGTAGATACTATTCATAATTATTTCTCAATTTATTTCTTATTTTTTCACATAAATAGCTTATTGTTTCACTTAACTTAATTGTCAATAACTTTTTATTGCAGAGCATTTGAATAGATACAACATAACTTTTATTGTAATTTTGTAAAATTTTTCTTTAAAGTCTCCATAATAATCTCTTATTGCATAATTCTCTTATTGTACTGTTACATTTTAGCCACCCAAATTTGATTCTATTATTATCAATATTAAATTCTTTTATATAATAGATCCGAGATATTTAAACTTATCGCATTGTTTGAAGAACTTGCTTCCAAGCATAAAATAATTAGTTTGGAGAGAGCTTTATTTGAAAATATGGGATTTTTTTTGCTACTAAAAGAAAGTGAGTGCTTACATATGGTTCATTTGAGTTTAAACTTAACTATAAGTATCAGTTCACCATTTTTTAATAATTCAAATCATTTTATATTGTTAATCGGTTAAGCACCACTGCAAAGATAATGAAACCTTTTCATCTTGCTCGATTCCACAAATCCCCGAGTTCATTACTGCATTTTTATAGATTTTCTAAACCTTAGAATATCCAAACCTGTCCACCCATCAACGAAAGTATTATGGGGTTTAGTTGTTGTCCAGCCGGGACAATTCTTATTGCAAATTAGCTTTATCATAGCCAAAAGAAAACGAATTCAATGCTGAAACGCTCAGGTACATTATTTTCAAATCATGTTTATTTTGATGCAAGTGTTTGGAACGAGTTTTATTATAGCGAGTTTTAGTAATATTTGTTTTGTATGAATTTATTTCTTACGATTCAGTTCAAGTGTTTGTTTGTGCAGCAATAAGTTTCAATTTTCTCATTATTCTTTAATTTTATTTAATTTCACTACTCTTATGGATTCATGAAACCCATTTTCCTTTTAATTTTGTCATTTTATTATTATTTTACGAACCAAAAAAAAGAAAAGAAAAAAACTTAAAAGGTGACTTTCAAGTTCTCTTATAAGTGGAATTCACGTTCCATCTTTATGAATGAATTTTAAAAATAGGAACTCAATTTCATCCACTCTCTTACAAAAAATATTTTGACTCAATGTTGGGACTTTTTATTGGAAATTAGATTAATTTCAAACACTTCATGAAAAGAAACTAGCCCTTGGTAGTAAGTTGAGTTAATTTTTATGAGAAATTAATGTTAACTCAAATGGGATACCTGATGCTATTTTAATAGACAAATACTGAATGATATTCATAGTGAGGTCCTAACGATGAGCTTCCAGAGTTCCATTTATAGGTCTTCTTTTGGGTTCTCCTGCATCGCATATTACCTCTTGTGCAGACAAAATGCAAAATGTCCTAAGAATTGTAGTAAAGAAACTTTAAGGGAAAAGATGGAAGTCTCGTTATAGTATGTAGGGTGCATCAAAGGTACTTCCAATGGAATTTTTAGCTAAACTCGTACCATAGTTTTCAAAATTTACATAAATTACAACAAATGGTTCTGATACTCCAGTTTGCCTGACCCCATTTTGCTCGCCCATGCAATAGAATGTTGCGAAGGTCAAAATTTTTTTCATGCTGGCAGATATTTTCATGGCAGTGTTAACTGACTGCCAGTCATATGTGGCGCACCACATTGCTTTAATTTTAAACTACTTTGATAGCCGGCTGTATGCCCTATGTGACTTGTAATTTTATGAACCATATAAAATAGTGTTTGTCTGTAAGTTTCTTAGAACTTTTCTGCCGTGTTAATATTGCTCCGCGGCTTCTAATTGACAGGAAGCGATTGTTCAGCATGATCAATGATTTACCAACTGTTTTTGAGGTCGTTACTGAAAGGAAGCCAGGAAGGGAGAAGTCTGATAATGGAAGCAAGTCTAAACAATCAACCAAGGTAATGGCTGACAATGCTATCTATGCCATCCAATTAGGATAACTTGGATCAATTCAGTTTTTTCATCACTAAAATCCAACCATCCAAATTTTGAATTGCATGGCTGGGATGCCAGTAATTTTATGATACAATTGTCTGTGTATTGCAAAGCCCACCCATGGTGACCATCGAGATGCCGTACCCACCTATCCCACCCACTTTTCATGCTTTTTGAATGCAGTCTACCACGGACTGATTGCCTTGAGGCTTGTTGCCCTTTGCTCTGATTGTAAACTTTCAAGCCGAATATTAGAATTTATCGTAGTTGCAGCGTGGTTAAGTACTGCACACTACATAGTGATGATTGCAGTAATATAAGATATATGGTGATTAGCAATGTAAATCGATTTATCCACCGATGTTGAGTACCCACCCATACTCACCACAAGGTCATGGACATGGGCATGGGTGGGTATGGGTATGGGTACCCAATGCAGGGCTCTGGTGTATTGCCTAATTTCAAAGCTTTACGTTGACAAATTTGTGCTCATTTTCCAGCGAACGAGCGACGGGCAGATCAAGAACAATACAAAGCATGCTGATGACGGCTATGGAGAAGATGAAGACGAGCACAGCGAAACCCTTTGCGGAGCTTGCGGTGGCAATTACAGCCCCAGTGAATTCTGGATTGGATGCGATGTGTGTGAGAGGTGGTTTCATGGTAAGTGCGTAAAGATCACGCCGGCTAAAGCTGAGAGCATAAAGCAGTACAAATGCCCCAGCTGCAGTTCGAAGCGAGGAAGACAGTAGTAGTAAAATCAGAGAAAAAGAGAGAAGGATGGAGAATTTGTATCTTCTGTTTGCTGACAGATTTCAAGATGTTTTGTTTTGTTCATGGTTAATATATTAGATTCTAGTGGTGTTTCTTTATGGTGTTAGTGTTTATAGATTATGAACTATACAGCTGCGAACTCTTTTTAAGTATACATATACAGGAAGAGAATAGTTGGCTGTAAACATTAATTTTAGAAATGGACTTCAGCTTCGCATGCTTTTCTTCCATCCAAATGCTCTGCTCGTTCAGTAAAGTATGAATATGCATGCAAAGCTCTGCTTGATTGTTTGTTTTGTGTAGTTGATGATCATAAAAGCTGCTTTTTGCTTTGCCAATCCCGGTTAGTTTATGAAAGAATCCCGTCTCAAGACTTCAACCTGATCCAATCCACTCCTAAGTCGCATAGATTCAGGACCTATTCTTTTATTGATCTTAAGTCTTTGTAGAAGTCCGCTGACTAATCATTTTTTGAAGGAACAACATATCTAAGAGATTCTTTCAATTTGTTTCAAAAAAAAGCTTTGATATTTTGTTAAGATGCAAATACAGATTTAGGCACATAATTTATAATTTTAGCAAGACAGGTGCAAATTGTAGGTTTAGGATAGTAATATTATCTTAGGTTTTGATTGGGATGGTTTTCTTATTGATTTTTAAAGCATTTTTTAAGAACATAATTTTTTTGTTCAAAATTTTTCTATACTAAAAAGTTGTTTTAAAAAGCAATATGAAAGTTGTTCCTAATAAAGTCTTAGAATGTGAAGAGTTAAATGGCCCTGATTTGTTTGCCTTGAAAGAATGAAGAAAAATAATTTGACATTTCTTATAAGGTCTATCAGATAACCATAGATGAAAAAAACATATAAATATTACCTTTAATCTTTCATTCTTTTGATATTCTTTGTTAGTTGACTCAATGATCTCTATTTATCTTTTGTAATTTTCATATTAAGCTTGTACATATTTGTTCATAATCATGTCAATGTCATGAGAACCTACGGCACTTTACATGCAATTTGCAGCTATTTTATCAGATTAAAGAGAGAGAGAGAGAGAGAATGAAATATTGAATTTAAACTAGCTTGAGGACTTTTGTCTTTTCAATGTTAATTAAACCTATACTAATTCCATTCTCAATTAACCAACAAAATCTTCCCTTTTGGGTTATGCCATGTCTTTCAATTAAGCACGAATGAAAATCTTGTGCTTATTATTGATATGAAATGTTGTGCAACCCAATAATAAGAGATTTTTAATTTCACATGGGCTTTGTTTGTGATGCTTTTTTTACTGCTTTTTAAAGTAATTTTTAGTATAAAAAGTTTTTGAACTAAGTATTTTTGTACTAAAAATATGATTTTGAAAGTATTAAGAAAGCCACCCCAAATGAAGCCTTTCTAATTAGATCTTAATGAGCCGTAAATTAACTATGATTAAAAGCCATTTGTAAATTTCTTAGAGAATTTGTAATGCTTATTGTAAGAAAGACTAGAGACAACTACATAAACTTTTACATTGTGTGAAAGAGAGCATGAATCATCTGGTGATAATGAAATGTCCACCCATTGGAGGATAGTTAAAATAAAATATCTCCATCATTAAAACTTGATTTATGTGACATAAATAAGTGATGCTTAAGCTTTTTTTGAGATGAATTTATTGATGTTTTCTAAATTAACTTTCTAGTACAAAAAATTCAAGTTCTTGAAATTTTTGTATCATAAAATTACTTTAGATAATAATAAAAAAGCTACCCCAAATGAATCTTTATTCAAAGAAAGAAAAAGATATTTGCACCAAATTCAGGCTTCAGAATATTTTTTCTGAAATTCTCATAAAAAAGGCCTCTTACAATCTCCTGCACATTGCAAGAAAGACCACAACTAGAGATGGTTGAGAGTTTTATGATGAACACATTAATCACCAAAAGATTTTTCACTCACAATCTTTCCCACAAAAATCTTACAATGGCAGCTTAAGGGTTATATCATTAGTCTTTGAACTGAACGTCTCGAGAATACGAACCCAACAACACTAAATTTGGCTCAATCCGAGCCAAAATGAGTCCAAATCAAGGACCCGAAGCGCCATTGGAAGGTTCAAGCCACAATTCTAATTACCAAACGGTTTCCAAATGTGATATGATTATAATCGAATCGAGCGGCTCGACGAAAACAATCCAATGAGCCCACAATTACATAATTCTGACATCATTAAGACCTTTAAATGTCTAGCAAATAGTCAATGATCAAGGTATTCAATTAACATCGGCCGTCCATTTAAATCACTCCCCATTTACCCTTGACATTCCTCCTATTTACAGGCTATGCCACTATAGGAAATCTATAAATAGACAGCTCCTTCCTCTTAAATTGGGCCACAAGCAAGAGAGAGAGAGAGAGAGAGAGAGAGAGAGAGAGAGAGAGAGAGAGAGAGAGAGAGATTAGAGATCGCTCTTACCTCCTCGACCATCGTCCAAAGTTCTGCCGGACCACCAATTGAGGCCCGGACTTCCGCTGGACCACCACATGAGGTCCGATGTTCCGTCGGACCACCACCTGACACCTGGACTCCCGCTGGACCACCACCTGACGCTCAGACTCCCACCAGACCACCATTTGACATCCAGAGTTCCACAGGACCACTACTTGACGCCCAGAGTTCCACTGGACCACCACTTGATGTCCAGACCACTGCCTTTTGACAACAGTCTTTTTGACCCCTATGTCCTATCAACTACGATCCTTCAAACTTATGTCGCATTTGTAGTCGATTACAAATGAGGCCCTCATTGGAGGGAAGGCCTTGGCTTGATATGACATATATACATCATATAAAATGCATTACATGGTAGAAATTGGAAGAATCATTATTGATATGTTCGTTTAGTTGGCAAAACCATAGTAGGTAGGCGATGGAAGTTGGAAGGATCGTAGTCGACAAGAGATAGGAGTCAAATAGATTGTTGTCTAGCAGTGGAGGTCGGAAGGACCGTAGAAGGCGACAGGGTCGGAAGGACCGAAGTCGGCATGAGACAAAAAATCCTAAAAATCTAGACCCTGTGATTTTTCCCCCTTTTCAGGGTTTCCATGTAAAATCTCTGGTGTCTCTTATGAACGTTACACCCTCTCTCTTATCTTATTGCGCGTTGGATCTTTGTACAATATTAAAACGTTAAACTTTATATTTCTTTACCTTCGAGAATATTCAGGACGCAACAAATTTATATATCAATGATAATTTTTTTTTCTCAACACAATAATAATTAAAAACTAAGAGATGAGAATCAGCCATATGTTATTTCAATGATAAAATAGATTTTCAATTACTTGACATGCATGAGTTCTACCAAATATTCTGATATAACTGTACACCAACCCCTCCACTAATTTATTGGAAGATAGCGCACCTCCTCCTCCCTTTCTGATATTATTAATATCAGTAGTACTATGCGGTTCTTATTTGGATGACGTCCTCCATAAGATGTGGCAATCTCTTGTTCATTTCTGTATGATGGAGGACATACAAGCTGTAACAATGGCCTCCAATCATTCATGAAGCCAATATAGAAAGTATAACAGTATGAAATAAAATATGGACGTTTATCAGCTTTAATCAACGGGCTTCAGTATTTTATTTTATTTTTTTAAATGTAACGTAAGTATCATCAATCAAACGGATAATTATAAAATGAAATCACTATCGGCTAATTCAAAAAAAGACAAAGATGTAGAAGGTGAAGGCTTTGCTTTGGTTCTTAATATAATTTTATAGTACACAAATTTTACTTTTTTACTAAAAATCTACTTTAAAAAGCAGTAAGAAAGTCGTCCCAAATGAGAGAAAGTATTATGTGCAGAGACGGGATGCAGAATACCGTCCGGAGACCAACCAGAATGTGCCACGTCAGCAGTACTGAGCAAGAGGTGACGTGACATATTTAGATTGGTCTCTAGATGACGTTCATTGTCCGCACAGAATAATTAATTCCCAAACGAAGCCAAAATATAATAATTCTTAAAACAATTTTCAATGTACGCAAAGACGGATTTAAGAGGGGCCTTGGGGGGGCACGTCCCCCCCTCCCCCCTAAAAATTTTTTTTCCATATAAAATTATACAATTATTCGATTCTCTCTACTCTTTCACTATTTATTGCCATTTTTTACTAGCAACATTTCGTTATTTTATACTTGCTACTAGTTATAGGCTTATATATATCTCTCTCTCTCTCCCATGAGGGTGAGATGATTTTAAAATTTTTAATTTTTTAACCACTATCTCTCTTATGAGGTTGCCTACTTTTTTTGTTGATTTTTATTAGAACATTTTAATTTTTGTTCATTTATATATTTACCCATTTTAATCATTTATTTCCACAGTAGTAATTTTCTTAAAATTTTTAATTTCATGATTTTTTTATTATTTTAAAATCTCCAAATTCTCTTTTATAAGAAATTTTTATAATTAAAGTCAATAAATTACACTAGAGAAAGATTAAAAAATTTAAATTTAAATCAAGTAGCTTAAAATATGCTAATTATAATTATATATATTTATTGCCCGTTATAAAATATTTTTTAATTATTTTTATTTAAATTAGACATGAAAATCTTAAGTTAGATATTTAAAAAAAAAAAATACTCTAATGTCAATTTCAAGGCTCGAATAAAGAAGCATGATGGTATTTTTCAAATTAAAAATTTGTGTCCCCGCTGAAAAATAATCCTGTTTTCGCTACTGTATGTACTAAAAAGCTGTTTTAAGAAGCAGTAAGAAAACAGAGCCAAACTCTGATAATTTCAGATCTTTTATTGTGAAGCTGCATAGAACAAGAGAGATTTCAAGATGATTTAGAACTTTTTTTTGCTTCTACCTATGGCGTTTGGTTGTGTAGAAGTCAGAAAAATGTTTCCACAGAAGGGTCATTCTCATATCTGATAAGTGTAGTAGTATAAATTAATTGATCTTGATCAAACAAATATAGAAAAATCCCATTGAGGCTAAACAGAACCACATAAAGAAATACAATGAGAATAGGGTTTAATCTTTGTTTTTTTTTGGGGTTAATCTTTGTTGTACAGATTTAGGTTTAGTTTTAGGACAATTTTCTTACTGTTTTGTAAAGTAATTGTAGATTTTTTTTTTAAATTGTCATAAAAAGCAAATTTTTAGCATAAAATTTTTCGAAAATATTGAAAAAATAGTAGTCAAATAGAAATTATGAT